GTTGCAAAATCGGAGAAGATAACAATGCAGCAGATCCAATCACACTGATAGCAGTCTTTTAAATGCAAAAAAAGTAGGAGCGGTTTTTTGATGATGAAAGTATATTTCGTCATTATCATTAGTTCCATATCGCATAGACTGGTCATCTAAATGAAGTATGAACTATATGAATATTCACGAAATGAAAAGTGAATGGCAATCGTGGTTCATTTTCGAAGCTAAACTGACTTATCATATTTGCACGAGAATGTTTCTAAATGCTTCAAAATGTTTACGTTTTGTTCCTATCGAATTTACAAGTGGAATCTCATTTGATTTGAGCAGTGGAAAGTGATGTCATTTTAATTTGTAGATTGTTTTGCGTACGGTTTGCTTTTGTGATCGTTTAACAGATTTATTATTCGGTTCATTTTGAACATGGCAGATAATTCGTATGTTGCATACTTCTTGACATTCTAAATTGACTTGTGTCAACTTCTTCGAATTACCACATGCTTCCCAAAGCTCACACTGTTGACGATAAATTTTGACGACGGAAAAGAAGAAACTTCCAATAATTCGTTGACCATGACCTCTAGCGACAGCGCGGATAGAACATACGTCCAGATAAATGCCACGAAAAAACAGTTTATCTTTCAGAGCTGTTCAATTCGACAGTGAGAGCGCGAAAAGCGAGAATGAGAGTGAATCAAGCGAATTGAAAACTTCGAAACTGAGTGATGAAAGTGCTGATGATTTGGGATTGGAGAGTGAAACGTTTTCAATAACAACAACAGCGACAACACGAAGTTTTGATTCAGTGCTCGAATCTCTAACAAATCTTCGACTGAATGCCGGCAAAGAGGCAGTTTATGGTGACGTTGACTCGAGCTCATCTTGTAGCGATGAACTGCCAGCTTCATCTCCACAAAAGCTTGCTAGCATTACCGACTCACACGATGAACATCAGGATGAGAGTGAAGATAGCAAGTTCAAGAACCGTTACGTGAGCATATTTTTGCGTTCCTTTCATCTGTTAGATCAGTTCTGAAGGCATTTTCAAACAACATTCAAAATGCGAATTTCACCACTTCACTGATATTTCGCGTCAAACTTCAATTTTCTCATTCCATT